GTCCCCTACAGGGGAAAGCACAGCCCTACACACTACAGCGGTGGGTACAGCGGGGGTACAGTCCCCTACAGGGGAAAGCACAGCCCTACACACTACAGCGGTGGGTACAGCGGGGGTACAGTACCCTACAGGGGAAAGCACAGCCCTACACACTACAGCGGTGGGTGCAGCGGGGGGTACAGTACCGTACAGGGGAAAGCACAGCCCTACACACTACAGCGGTGGGTACAGCGGGGGTACAGTACCCTACAGGGGAAAGCACAGCCCTACACACTACAGCGGTGGGTACAGCGGGGGTACAGTACCCTACAGGGGAAAGCACAGCCCTACACACTACAGCGGTGGGTACAGCGGGGGTACAGGGGAAAGCACACACCTACACACTACAACGGTGGGTACAGCGGGGGTACAGGGGAAAGCACAGACCTACACACTACAGCGGTGGGTGCAGCGGGGGTACAGTACCCTACAGGGGAAAGCACAGCCCTACACACTACAGCGGTGGGTACAGCGGGGGTACAGGGGAAAGCACAGACCTACACACTACAGCAGTGGTACAGTACCGACCTACACCCCGCAACAGAGAAATGCCAAGATCCATTTAAAAAAAAGGCCTTGGAAAAAATAAACCCCAAGCGAGATGGGGGGAAATCCTGGCCAGAAACAAAAGGAGCAGCCGGCTGGGGGCTGCTGTTATCAGGGAAGGCTAAGGGCTGAATACATGCTGCATATGGTGCCACCTGTGGACCTCCAGTGCCCGCGGTGGTGCTGCCCAGTGAGAACCAGGCTGAGTAGGTCCATGTGTCTGGACTGAGGATATGGGAGGGGGCTAAGAAGCGGGGGCCAAAGAGAAGGAAAGCAATGTAACAACGCACACAGCTGTTGCAGAAGGAAGAAAACATTCATTTCTAACACAGAGAGAAAGGGCCAGACACCCAGGGCATTACCGATGTGCCCAGACATGCCCCTGTGCCCATCACACGGGGCCCCTCAGAGCCTCACCCCCTCTCTTCCATGGGATGGGGGCCAGGTTCTCTTTGTGCTTTGAGGTTCCCGAAGTAGAAACTTTCCTCTTCAAAACCTGAGAAAGCCTTTTGGGGATCAGGGGCTGAAAGTCTAGAGGTAACCCAGACCCTGTCCTCACCCCTTACCCCCAAATCCTAGCCTGGCTGCAAACGCCTTCCCCATTCGGCAGCGCTACCAACCAAGGCTCTTGTCCAGCAAAGCACTTAAAGTACCTGCTTAAAGTTAAGTACCTGCTTAAGTGCTTTCCTGAAGAGGGCTGGTTTCCTCAATGATGGCCTATCAGCGTGGCCAGAGATACAGACACTGAGTGTGTCTCCGAATGCATGCACAGACACACAGATCTGTATCATCCCCATCAACCTGCGGCCTGCGGGGCTTGTGGTTATGCTGTTCTGGGCCAGCGACAGTGTTTGGTCCATTCCCCCAGCAATTGTTAGAAGGGTCCAGCCTGCCGGTAGAGCAGCCAGAGCTGGGTGTGCTGTGTCTTTGTGGATTGGGGCAGACGGCGGGAGGCCGAAGTGCGAGACATTAAAAGGATTACAGTGGAAAACAAGAGTTTTGGGGGCAGAAAACTGTCAACAAATATATAAGCTGCAGGGCCCGTGGCCTTCACGCTTCATGGCACATTCTTTGCCACGCTCCCCCAGCACACACAAATACACACACGCGGCACCAATGCCCAAGAACCCCGATCGACAAGCGGGGCCAGTCTTGGGATCGGGGGCCAGCAGCAGCAAATGAAGCCCCTGGAGACCCCCCGGCCGCCTCCCCGACATGTTATTTACCCTCTGCTGCTATCTCAAGCCCAAACACAACAAACAGAGAGGGGGGTCGAGAGGGATCCCGGCGCTGGGAGAATTCAGAGAGCGGCACACCTTGTGCTCTGGGGTAATTCTATCCCCGCTGCCTGCTGATAAGGCCAGTGCAGCAGCGCCACAAACTGCCAGAGCATGCAGAGAGTGCGTGTGTGTGTGTGTGTGTGTGTGTGTGTTGTGTGTGTGATGACTCACCTTCAAATACAGCCCGGTGCTGGCTGGTAAAGGGAAGCGCTGGGCACTTTTTCTTGTAATGACCTCTGACCTGCCTACCATTCCAGTAGACGAGGGATGGGTTAAACCCGACCTAACGCAGAGCAGGATGGGCATTTCAAAAAACAAAAATCTTGTCACCCAAACCAAAACACTCCACCACACACACAGCTCGCCCCCTGGGGCGAGAATGACTCACGCGTGACAGATGTCAGTCACGGTGCCTAATGCACCATGGGTAGGCGCTCGGGGGGGGGGATAGAACAGACCTGTGGAAGCAGCAAGGCACCAGAACAGTAACGTCACGTGAAAAGATTGGAGAGATGGGTGGATTAATCGGACAGTCCAGCCTGGACTGATACGCTGCTTCTAACTGCTGTATGTTGTACGAGTTACAACTAATCTACTGCGAACGCTCGTCACTGGCCAGAGGGTGCTGGAGTTTGTGTTAAATCAGCCAAGAGCAGTCAGACTAAAGCGTTTGCTTTCAGCCAGGAAGCCTACAAGGTTAATTACAGTTTCTACCATTCAAACATGCTGAGTCAACCTGCTACAGTGCATGTTTAAAAGCCAGCCAAGGAAGATGCCAGTGATCTTTTTAAAGAAGAACTTTTCCTTGTCTATTGCAAAAGGAGGTGGGGCTGTTTAAACTTTACCTCTCCTCCCTCGAGCTTCCAGCATGCTTATTTAGATACACAAACACACACATCACATGAAGACGATGCTCCCTACCTGATCCTGCAGGCGGGCCCATGCACCTGGCTGTGCATGAGATGAAACAAAATAGAATCACTGAAAAAAAACCCCAAATAAAACAAAGGCAGAAGTCCTGAAAGCAGGCAATTCGAGGATGTGTTTGTGTGTTGGAGAGGCCAGGTGAGCTGCGACGTTGCAGGTCAGATGGAAAAGCCATCAGGAAATCTGCATCCTCAGACCCTCCGTAGCACCCGAGGAAGGTTGTACAACAGCTGCATTGGGTCCCTACAAACAACATCCATTGGGATCCTAGACCCAACCAACCTGCCCTCCTGCCACTGAAAACAAGCACCTAACAACTGACCTGCCAGGGCATGTATCCCCCAGCATTACACACCCACCCCGCCACCCTTGGGAGCCGGAGACCAGGACAGAGCCAGAGAAGGATGGGGAAGGGAACAGACACTCTGTGAAATGACAGTGCAGGCAGAGATGGGAATCCCATTTGAAGAGGGGAAAGGGTGTTAGCTCAACACACAGCGAGTGGCCTGATTTGGCCAACCCATGCCCTGCACGGATTGGATAGATTCTCTCCGGTAAATCTAACAGACTTTGCCCCCCTCTGAATCTGGACTGCTGTAAGCGCCCTGATCCCAGAATCCCAGCTTCCCAGAGTCACTCATTACGTGGAAATGTTTCTCCAGTGAGAGGGGGCCAAAACTATTTCTCTAGATCTCAACGTCCCCGACCCAACTCGCTTTCATTCTCGACAAGGCCCCAGGGCAGTGGTTCTCAACTTATTTACCATTGTGGGCCGCATCCAATACGACCTGTATGGCCCAGAGGATGTCACATGGGCCGCAGCTGTGTGCTGATTGGGCTGCAAGTGGCCCACGGGCTGCAGGTTGAGCACCACTGCTCCATGGTAACCTTGAGTAATACCCAGAGAGCCTTTTCTAGGACACTTGGGTCCCAACTGAGCAGCTGTCCATGTGAGCGTCAGGTACTGCCCCAGCATCGAGATCCCCTAGATAATGGGAGGGAGCAGAGAGCATTCCAGCCAGCAGGAGGAGAAGGAGGAGATGGCTGCAGGAAAGGAGGCATGTTCGGTGCAGGGGACCCATGTAATGGGCGTTTAAAGAAAACACCAGGTGGCAAAATCGATCCTCTGTGTTACACTGAAAAACTCTAGGCCGCTCACCTGTCATGAGCGCATCCAAGCAGGACTCTTTCCACCAAGGGAGAGGATGGGGAGGGCACGCTGCTGTCTTTTCACTCTGCGTGTGTGTGTCCTTTTGCCCATCACAGATTAGGTTACTGGGATCTTCACACCTGTCGAGTAAGGGACAAAGGGCATGAGAGGGAGAGAGAATTGTGACTCTGCTAATGACGCGCTGCCCCAAACGCTGCCGGTTTGCTTGATGAGGCAGAGAAATTACCTGGCCAAAAATGTTTATCCCCTTGCTGCCTGCTCCTTCCCCCCCCCCCCGCCCCTGCAGTGAGTGACAGCTGCTAATTCACGGGCTGCCCCCTCCCTCCCCCCTTCTCGCCCTGCTCTCTCTCCTCCTCTGCCTCCTTTATCTTATCAAAGCCCGTAATTACAATTGCTATTTTGTTTCCTCAAATCAGCAATCAGTGCTATCGGGCAGCGCTGGAAAGCCAGCTCCTGTCAGCCTGAAGCCTGAGTGACAGAGTGAAGGAGCTTCCCCACACCCCGCCACCCCGTACATTCTCTCTGCCACACACAACACAACACAACACAACACATCGGCCACCCCCACGCACCCCACAACCATTCCACCAGCCACTCTCCCACACCGTGCATTCTCTCTGCCACACACAACACAACACATCGGCCACCCCCACCACCCCACACCCATTCCACCAGCCACTCTCCCACACCATACATTCTGTCTGCCACACACAACACAACACAACCCCCACGCGCCCCACAACCATTCCACCAGCCACTCTCCCACACCAGATATTCTCTCTCCCACACACCCCCTCCCCTCTACGGACACACACCTACATTCATCACACCCCTCTCCCTGCCCTAACACAAATGCACATCCCTCCTTCTTCTCATACCGCAATGTCTCTCCTCCCGTGGGGAATCTCAAGAGGGGAGACCTGCTAAAACTGGACTAGAGAGCATGTGGAATTTAGCTCCTAGGCCAATGCTTCCCCGAAACCGTCTCCTCAGCTAAAGTGACCTCTAGGAAGAGGGAGGAGACAGGAGGCTGCCCTAAAAAGCTCTGGGAGAAGGAATGTGACGGGTTAAAGGATCCTTGGTTAACTTCATCACAAAGTGCAAATGCCCCGGGTCACTATGCTGTGAAACTGACACAGCGGCTGGCCACCAGCCCAGGTCGTGCAGTATTTGCTCCGTTTACCAGTCAGTAAGGGCCATTTCCAATGGCTGGATCTGCAAATTTCCACCTGGTCTAATCCGGACAAGCTCTTTTTCCCTGTCACACCCCAGCAGCGTGGAGCTCCCGAGGCTGTAGCCGGGCAGAATGGACTTCAGCTCCCTCTCCCATCGCTGGGGTGGCGCAGGCTGGCTAGCGGGTCCCCCGCTTGCTTTTCACATTAGGAATCCAGGTCTTGTCTAATCTTCTGTTACCCAGAAGATTCTATGGACAACTGAAGAACTGGCAGGACTGACAGTGAAATCTGATCTGCTGAGTGGGGAAGGGATTTTTACCCACCCTCTTAGCAAATGCTTTGCTTGTGCTAAAACCTATAACTCAAAGCTAGGAGACACACTTGGGAGAAAATCTTTCTCTGGTTAAGGGCCGAGAAAACTCCCCAGACCATCTCTCTGGGTCACCCGAGGAGACCTCCAGCAAAGCCAGGGGTGACAAGGTTAGATTTTCCTGCTATTCTGAAGTAAAATAAGCCCCCCTCCTCTAAAAACCAAAATCAAACAAGGGGTTCAAACCCCATCTCCCTTCTCCCAAGCCTGCCCGCATTGAAGTCAATGGCCAAACTTCCTTTGCCTTCAACAGAAGCCAAATCAGGCCCCGTGTTCATATCCTGCTATAAGGGAATGGGAAACTCTGCTCACCCCTTCATTGTGTCTTGGTAGCATCCCCACGGCACAGACAGAGCAGCAGCATTCGAACCCCCACCCCCGCCAGGCGTAGATCAGATCCCAGAGCAGACACACAGCTGGCAGTGGAGAGATGGGAGCAGGCTGCACTGACCAGGGGAGATTTATGACAGGCGGTGCGGGGTCAGGGTCAGCAGCGAGCTAACAGGCTAGGCTAGCAGGACTCAGCCAGCTCCGGGTGCCCCCGCTCTTGACATGCAGGTTGAAGTGCCACTCACAGCTGTAAAATAGTTTCAATGGGGATAAGCCAGAGGCAGCCGCACTCTCCCAACCGCCCAGCATGACACCAGAGCTGCATTTATCCCGCACGGGGGGTCCAGCTCCCACCGTCGCTAATAGGCACAGAAAACTGCCACCACATCTTGCCTGCTGTTTATCACTGAGAAGATGAGAGCAGTGTGGTTTAGGGGGTAGAGCTAGGTACCAGGACACCTGGGTTCTATTCCTAACCCTGCTGGGTGACCGGGGCAAGTCTCTTTCCCCTCTCTGTGCCTCAGTTTTCCCATCTGTGAAATGGGGCTGACACTTATGCTCATTTGGAGATCTACGGAAGCCTGAGAGGTTTGATTGTTTCTTAAAGGGCTTCCCCTCGCATACATTCGGAAGTTTGGTCTCATCTCCCCTAGAAGGCTCTATGGGTGGCTGAAGAACTGGTCGGTTTATTGTCTCATTGTTTCCTTGGACTCCCCCCGACCCCGTCTGTATCCATCTGTCATATCTTGTCTCACACTTGTGAGCTCTTTTTGTCCTGTGTTTGTGCAGCACCTAGCGCGCTGGGGCCCTGGTCTGGGACTGGGTCTCCTAGTTGCTGCGGTAATACAATTAACAATCCCCGCAGGCATCCCTCGGAATCAGGAGACGCACAACTTGGCCTTTTTCTAAAGCAAGAAACCAACCCACTGGGGATTTCTTTATCCGCCTGAAAGAAACCCGCAAAGGCCCCTCTGCAGGCCGCCTTTAGCGAACCGGGAGAGTCAAAACACTCAGCCCCTGGAGCGCAGCTCGTTTCACAGCTCCTCAGCTGCTGTAAAAGGGACCTCACGGAGGTCGGGGGGGCTGACGCGCCGGCCCCCGCAGCCTAAGGGCAAAATTCTGCTCTCCAAGACCTCATTGCACTCACTGGGAACTTCCCCTTTACAGATATGAAGGCAGGAGAGACCATTGTGGCCCCTAGTCCGACCTTCTGCGTAGCACAGGTCAGAGCTCAACCCAGCGAGTCCCACCTCCCTAGGAACGGGCTGTCCCCACCCCCTGTGAAAAACATGGGCCTTATTTCTAGTCTGGCCTTTCATCTTCCACGCCCTGGACCCCGTTCTGCCTCTGCTAGGTTAAAGAGCCCTGGGCTATCAGCATTCTCCTTCCCACGTAGGTACTCCTGGTCCAGGATCGAGTCACCTCTCGCTGTCCGCTGGTTCCTGATCTCCTGGCTCAGGGGGCCTACCCTCGTGGGCAGGCCGCAGAGATCAGAGCCACCCCATGTGCCAAAGCTGGTGTGGGCTGGATGGGCACAACTGGGGATCAAGGATTCCCCCCATCCCACTCCATAGTACCCCCTTTTGGGGGACGTCTACACTGCAGGAGGAGGTGTGATTGCAGCATGTGTAGACATGCCTGAGCTGTCTTTGACCTAGCAGTGAGACCATGGCAGCACGGACGTCGATCTGGCTAGCGACCCAAGTAAGCACCCAGGGAGCCGGGCGGGCGCATTCAGCCTGCGCTGAAGTCCGGGGCTGCCAACCTTCACGGTAGCTCCGTTCCAGCAAGCGGGGTGTGGCTCCGTGTGCTGCAATCCCGCTGCAGTGAGGGAGGAGCCAGTCCTGCCCCCTGCCGGGGATAGGGATAGGGCAGCCCAAAGCCCAGAGCTCACAGCCCTGCCCCTGAGAAAGGAAGGGCCGGCAGGCGAGGCCACTGGGTCAGAACAGGCGCTGCCAAGACGCCTGGCAGACCCAGGGCTGCACCTAGAATCTCTTTCCAGGCAGTGCCGCAAACCAGTCCCTCTGGCCCCGGCTGGGCCAGGATCCCAGGAGGTTCTCCCTGTCCCACACCTTCCTGCTTCAGGGCCTCCTGCAGGAGTCTGCCGCACTCCACTCACTGAGCATGGCCTCCTATGGCTTCCTGCAGGAGGCCTTTTCCCCAGCAGCGTCCACAGCCTCGCCGCCCAGCGGACTCTGGCAGCCTTTGCCAGGGGACTCCCCGCTGCACCCACTCCCTGCTCCTCTTGTGGAACAATGGCCCCAGGACCGCGCTTCCCCCCGGTGCCTGGCCCCAGGACTGACTTCTGCCCCCCCTCACCCCCGCGCCCCACCGGTCCCAGAACTGACCGGCACCTGGCCCCAGGACCGCCCTTCCCCCCCGACACCTGGCCCCAGGACCAACTTTCCCCCGCCTCACCGGTCCCAGAACCGACCAGCACCTGGCCCCAGGACCGACTTCCGCCCGGCACCTGGCCCCAGGACCGCGCTTCCCCCCGGTGCCTGGCCCCAGGACTGACTTCTGCCCCACCTCTCCCCCGCGCCCCACCGGTCCCAGAACCGACTGGCACCTGGCCCCAGGATCGCCCTTCCCCCGGCACCTGGCCCCAGGACCAACTTTCCCCCGCCTCACCGGTCCCAGAACCGACCAGCACCTGGCCCCAGGACCGACTTCCGCGCCCCCCCCCCGCCTCACCGGTCCCAGAACCGACCAGCACCTGGCCCCAGGACCGACTGCCCCAGCCCCAGCACCTGGCCCATTGTTCCAGGGCCCACTCCAGGAGTTAGCTCCACTCCTCACGGCTCTGCTCACCAGCCACAACCCAGCTGGGCTGCTCTCCTTCCCAGCCAGCTCCTAGCTGCGGGGCTTCCTCCCTCGTTAAGCCCTACACCCAGCGAGGCTAATCCCACAGGGCTGGCTAGCCCCAGGCCGCCTGGCCCTGACAGGCGCGCACAGCTAGCACCCATCTGCTGAGCGGGCGCGCACACACGCAGTCACAGGGGGCGTCCCGTGCCAATAAACCCCCTCATTGTGACTGCCCCGGGCACGGCCGGCCCCGGGCACATGCTGTCATATTCACACTAGCGTTGCAGTAGTGCTGAGAGCTCAGCCGTGCCAGGGGCTGTACCCCCAGGTAGGAGACACCTGAGCACCCTCAGGTCCCAGTGCCCTTGGGTTGGCACCTCCTTGTGCCCTCAGCTCCTGGCATCTGCAGGCCAGTGAGGGTCTCACCGCCTCCGATCCA